TCCAACCAAAACCATTCTATGATTCTATGAACTACATATTATGAAGTTAGTTATGTTACTGAGGTTGGGTGTTTGTTTGGGTGGTGTTTTTTTAGGGGAAAACCATGTTATAACTGTAGTATGATGTCAGGGATACCACTGATACTTGTGATAGGACTCAATATACTGCTGATGAGGATTCTTGCCATATTTTATTTTATGTAACTTCAGAAATTACATGCTGCAAACTACATCACTTGGCTTAAAAAAGGTATAACTGGCTCCAAAAAGCACATTAAATGCAACCATGTAAATGACCATCATCTGACCTGACTTTTCACAAGGGTCTCTGATATTTTCTAAAGCAATTTCTTTGACATTATTAAATCCTAATCCATTTTTCAATTAAAATTATTTTCTTTTTTGTATATACATTTGCATTAGCTGTACATACGATTCATTTGCAACTGTTCTTCTCTGTTGGTCTCTGTAGTACTTCTTGGCTTATTCTCTGAAGGAAGGTTTCCTCCATCCCACCTGTGTAGCTGAGCAGCAACTGGGACAACTGGAATTGGTGGCAGTTTCTCCCTCCAACTGGGACCATCCTGATCTATTAAAGTCTTTGTTATTCTGAAAGAGAAAAGCCCCACCAATATGACTTTTCATATATTTAAATCACGTTTTAGTAACTTATACCCAAATTAAATAATACAATGTTCCAATTTTTCAAAAAACAACTGAACAATTATCCTTAAGACTAATTTAAAAAAAGATTGGTACAGCAATCAATAGTAGTGTGCTCACTTAGGATTTACTTTTTCCACTTTTGAGAGTATTTATGCTAGCATTTAGAAAACAAGAAGCTGACTTCAGCATGATCTGTAAATATTTAAGCAAACTACTGATTTTGCAACTAAGCTCTAAATGCTGCCTACCACATACAATAAAGAAATAGGAAAAAAAAAATTATTTTATTTTTCTCAGCTGTTCATATTTGTAACAAGTGTATTACGATATCCTCAGGCAAAGTGTGGTATCTCAATTGGCCAATGTCAAATGAAACTTTTTACAAAACTATTCTCTAAATAACCAATGCAGGTCACAAAGTAGGTATTAGGCTGCATTTTATAGAACAGTCATAAATTTGTCAATCTTTCTTTAGTCTCATTTAAAAAGGCAAAGAATAGACATAAAGACTGTTTAGTCTTTCTTAAACCAACATATACAGATAGATAGGTAGATAGACAGATAGATAAATCAACTACTCCTGCACACAAGAGGTTCAATTCAAAATCCATTCAACTGGGAGTTCCCATCACTGTGATACATTTTAGAGAAAGACCTAAGTAAACATAATGAGTAAAGCCATGCAAGACTTCATGGTTCCATTACAATTTTTGTAGTGTTTTTTAAAAAAACCCAAACAAATATTAACCAGAGAATGAGAATAATAGTGAGATAAACATCTAATCTGAAAATGAGCTTAAGAGTCAAGTTCAACTGGTGATGACTCTAATGTCTACTTTAGCAAAAGAAAATTCTGAATTGAGTAATAGACAATAAACCTGAAATTTGTACATTAGGTGCATTTCCATTTAATACAGGTACAAAAAAAACATACTAAATGATCAGACATTAAAAAAAAATAAATTAAGAACCTTAAATGTGACATGAAGAATGAAATAGCATGAGCATAAATTACCCAACCAAGATTTCTTGCTTAGTTTTGTTCTTTTAAATTATTTGAATAACAGCTATAAAAGAAAAAAAAAAAAAGCCTCAGTATAATACTATGGCAACAGAGTCAGAGCACTCAGGACCAAATTCTTTACTCATTAGGGTCTGACAGAAAAAACAATACAAGAAGCAGAAATTACCAAAATATTTTAAAGAATGTTGTAGATTAAAAAGGCTTTTTGTAGAGCTATAAAATGTTATGTATTACATAATGCTACATGAAATATACAACTTCTTATATTTTTTTCATTGAAAGTAAGATTCTTAATACACAGAATATTACATTTCATAGTATTATCTAGTTGTTTTATTTGTTTTCTAAGTGAACAAGATGGGGATAACCAACAAAAGACACAATTCAGTATCATTTAATCAACATGATAAACACTCAAATAACTGTTTATACTTGTTTTCAGGTGACTTTCCATAAAAATATGTACTTACATTCCTAATTATTTCCTTTTGATTGCAAAATGATCAGGTAAAGGCTTTATATTATCGGGTAAAGGCTTTATATATCAAAAATTCTTCTTTTACATGAGAATGATTAGAAATATCAGACTGAACATCCATTCTATTCTAAGATTTTTGGAAAGCCTTCTTAGTTAGGGAAGTACAGAAAGAGAAGGCTTAACACAATTTATCAAACCCACCCTCAGACACAAGTAGGCTGATGAGTTTTGCCTCTCAGCTTCCTACAGCATCACCACTGGAACTTAAAGAAATCCTCCAATAAAAGTAGGTTGTTAAGGCTTGATATTCCTAATATTAAAAAAATTTAAATTAAATTTTGGGGTTGTCCCTTTAAGTTAAAAGGCAGTAGAGTAACTATCATACTTTGTTAAAATTCATTTTTAGAAAGGTCTGTTACTTAGGAAACGAAAATTATTACTTTGGTAAACAATTTCAGTTAGAGTCATGAATGATAAAATATTACAAAGTAAATTACAGTAAAAGTTCAATTATGCAGGAGGTCTATGCTTTAGAAACTAAGAATTTGCAAGCAAAAATTAATTACCAGCAGAAGAGAAGGAAGAAGCAGTTGAAAGAAGGTGATGGGTTGCCAGGGAGGAAAGAATAATGAGCAGTGAAGCTAAAAAACATAAGGAAGGCCTAGAGAGGAGAAAAGGAAGAGCATTAAGGGAAAAAAAGGAAATAAGCTTATTAGTAAGCAAGTTACAAGTCAAGGAGAAATACGAAAAGAGTATCTGCAGATAAAGTAAGCCAAGAAGATTAAAAAAAAAGTGTAATAACCACACAGATACCAGGATGAGCAGTTATCTCACCAAGTGCTCTGTTATCAGCATAGATACGGGAGATAAGTAACAACTTGTTGCATTATAAAAAATAAAGACTTGATGACAAAGTGTCATGATCTCCTTTGGCCACCTCTGGCCAAATCAGAATTTAAAGATATTACAAACTTTTTAATGAAGTAATAATGTGCTCATGGCCTTGCCTTAAAAGAAAAAAAGGTATTAGATTCCATTGTTAAAAGTCACGTGCATGTGGGCTCCTGCTCACTGATCAATGGCTGTTCTGCTTTCATAAATACTCTTCTGCCCACTAAAAAAAATAGAAAAGGAAATGGAAAATCCTAACATTCACACACTTAAGTACTCACCATACATTAATGAGAACACAATTGCAACAGTGTGTATGCACTAATTTTACAGTATTAAAATATAATTATAGAAATTGAGATGTCTCAGGAGCAAGAATTAATGTCAGAAGTACTAACATTTACATTAAAAATAATACTCAATTTTATTTTTTACACCTCTAAGCTTTGTAGCCAACCACTGTATCAAGCTACTTCAGTGTTTACACAATTGCAGCATACTCAAGGATTCCCACTTGACATAAATCTCCAACTGCACAGGAAAAGTGCTAATATGAAAAGGAAACAGAAATGTCAGAGAAAAGGTATGGACCTCAAAGTATTACTTTATACGGTATCAAATGTAAGTTAAGAAAGAAAACAAGTTAAAGCACCAGTAAAAAAAAGTCTTAAAATGTTGCATTTTTAAAACAGAAGGTGACCTACAGAGGAGAACTGTGAAGCTACGGGAAAACAACTCAATGAAACAGTCAGTCTTCTAGTTATAATGCACTAGTTGTGATGACCCTCCCTCTGAGGGATACAGAACACAGGGAGCATGTAAAGCCAATAAAACTGATTTTTTTTTTTCTATTTGGACTGATATGAGCAGAAAATTTCTAAGTGGAGTTACCTATTAGCACTATCATTTGCTGCTTGGATGCTGCTGTCTATTTGTAGGACTGTTTTATAATCAACATAAGCCTGTTGATACCGCTCCATAGACTCGTGTGCCATCGCTCGTCGTAGAAGAGGCTTAAGGGAAAATGGCTGAAGCTCCAGAGCTCTGGAGAAAACAAAAGAAAAATGCAGAACTGAAACAGGACAACTGAAATTATATTAATAAAACTATTTTCCATATATACACTATAAGTAACAACTTTCTGATTTCAGGTGGGCCTTACAGTAACGTAACCAATGAAAATCAGTGTTTTATATTTAATACATAATTATATATTAATAACAGTTTAATATGAAGTGAAATGCCAAGAAAAGATTAATATAATGGCAGCTGTTTAAATGGGCCTTACAGTAATATAACCAATGAAAATCAGACAGTGATTTATATTTAATACATAATTATATGTTAATAACAATTTAATATGAAATTAAATGCTAAGAAAAGATTAATATAATGGCAGCTGTTTAAGAGCAAAAGCTATTTTTCTTAAGTCAGGCCTAGATCTATGGGGATTTCGGGTATATGGTGCTTTTGCCTACATGATTTTAATGGAAGTATGCATGTAAAAAAATACATTTAGTTAAGACATAAATACACATTTGCCCTTTTTTGGCTTTTAGCTTTTTGTCTGTCTTTTGTCTGTTTACTCTTCCAATTGTGTGCCTGGTCAACACTGAGCTCAAACTCTTAACACTGTGCAATCAGAACTCCTTCCAAACACCAGGTGCTTTTCCAGCAATACGAAGAAGTCCACAAAGGCTTTATTTATTAAAGACTACCTTTTATAAATCAATTATTATTGCTAAAGGGAAAAACTGATGAACTTTGAAATACTGACATTAAGATGACTCTAGCCAATCAGATTTCATGGAATCATAAAGTAATTCAGGCTGAGAGGTCCCTAGTCCAACCTTCTGCTACAGGTAGGGTCAGCTCTGAGATCAGACAAGGCTGCTGAGGCATTTATCCAGTTGGGCCTTGAAAACCTCCAGGGGAATCTCTACACAGCATCTCTCGGCAACCTGCTGCAATGTTTCTCACTGTTCATGGGGAAAATGTTTCTCCTAATACACAGTCTGAACCTCATGCAGTTCAATTTTTGCCTGTTCTCTCTTGTCCTCCCACAATGCACTTCTGGAAAGAGCCAGGATCCATCCTCTGGATAATCTCCTCATAGGTACTGGCAGGCTGCTGTCAGGACCCCTGGAAGCCATCCTCTAAGCTGAACAAACTTGGCTCCCTTGGTCTCTCCTCTCCAGGTAAGTGCTCCAGAGTTCACAACCACCTCAGTGACACTTCACTGAACTCACTTGAGTGATCACTATCTTTCCTGTACTGGGGAAGCCAAAAGCCAACACAGTTATCACAGATGTTGTCTAACAAGTGCTGAGTACAAGGGGATCACCACTGCCCTCAAGCCACTGGCTGTGCTCCTGTTTATACAGCCCAGGAGGCTGTTGGACACCTTTGCTGTAACTCGGCTTTGCACTCTTACTCCTCTGAAAACTAGAGAAACAATGATTTCTAGAATAAACATTTCCAATTTCCATTTTATAAATATTTCCAACATTCCATTTCTCTTCATGTTGCTGAATGCATTTGAAAAATACAACAGCACACAACACCACAGCCCCTACAAAATCTTTGCAAAAACGCTTGACATTCTGCAGCTTAGAAGAATATTAACACAATTTCAGGTCCTAACATCAAGAATTAAGAAAAAAAAGCAACCACAAATAAATTCAGGGGAAGATCACAAGGCTTGAAAAATAGCATCAGTGGGAATGGAGAACTACATTTCCAAGGCAGAATGCAAAGATAACACAGCCAGGGATCAAACCACACCACAGCACTAAATAACATAACCTTAGTGCATAGGAGTCCTATTTCACTCTCTGTTACAAGAATCACAGGCACTCCAAATCAGTCTTGAGACAAAGAGAGATCCAACAGAGTGTTTTTGATACACTTCTAAGCCCTAAATAGCTAAAACCTAATAAAAGGTACGTGTTCAATACTTATTTTTATATCACAAACATAAACACTAGACAATTTTTTACTTTGAAATCAAGTAACCTATTCATAGATCATCCTTTATGTTGTGTTGCCTTGAGAACATTTAATTGACATTGCTTAATTCACATGTGCTTGCAGTTTTGCAGTTCTGCTTCCCAGTCACTAAATTATTTCTGCCTCTGTTGTGTTCATCGAGCATCAGGGGTCCTTGTGTACCCAGAAAATACGAACAACATGAAGGACACATATCATTAAGTAGTAAGAAAATAAGCTTCCAACTGGTACGAATAGAAAACCCAAAACCTTTGTATTACTGATTTCAGTTGAAGTCCTGCACACTTCAAATCTCCTGATAAGAAAAATTAGATGGCTGTTAAGTATGCCATCTGGTTTTATCAGCCAGCTGTCTACGGTCCTGCCTCTATTCTAACAAAATATTGTTAACAAGTCAATTTTTTTTAGATGACATTTCCAGAAAACTTTTCTGTCAGGTAGAATATATACAGTAAATCAAACATTTAGTTAATACAAAGTACCCGCATATTTTATTTTTAGCTTTGGGTGGTTTTTAACAGTTCGGTGCCGTAAAAAACCCAACTGATTAATTAATATGATTTCAAACTGTGTTGGGATCCTTTTTTGCCTCGGTCTTACTAACCCTATCTATGAAAATACATTTTAGAAAAATCTAGAAATAGAGCAGTAATTTAGTGGAAGGAAGTGTTTGGAAGTTATTAAAGGTGTCTGATCCTCTCTGACTGCTGTATACTTAAAAGCCACAATAAGCGGAAAGGATTTTAGCTCGATACCTGGACAGCTGTAATTAGTGTTTATAACTATTCCAAGTATATATTTAAAAACAAAACAACAAACCAAACACAGAGAACACACACATATACACCATACTTATGCTTGAAAGCAATTTCCAGCACTGTGATAAACATCTGGCTTAACAAAGCTTTTACATATAAGTTACTACAGAGTGTCATTGAAACAAGCCTGCTTTTATATTAAAAATGTTAACCCTGCTATGCATTTCTGTGGATATAAGAAGCCTAAAAACTGCTCTCACACAGTGAAACAGTAAGTTAAAAGTGCCTCCTTCCCCAGGTTCCATGTGATTGTTTACATAACTGACAAAGATCTCTGTTGTTAGACAGAGAATCAGACTTTACTGAAGATTGTTCAAAGTCAAACTGCAATAACAATATATCTGTTAAAATGTTTAATCATCATCAGGAATGTTGTTGCTCTACATGGGAGGTTGCAATTTACCTGTTACAATCTTGAATGCAGTCACTGCAGTTGCCTTCTTTGAGGTAACACGCTGCTCTGTTTGAGTACAAGATACTTAAATCATCTGGACTTTGTTCCCCTAAAAAAAGTTACAATTAAAATCAAAGACCATTACTAAAATGACATTCAAGAATTAAAGACTTGCATAGTGTAAGTTGCAGAGCAGTGATGCAGTCTGCTGACAATGCAAATCTGTAAGGAGCTTTCCTTTATCATGTCACCTAGAATATGCAATTATTCAAACACATAAATAAAAGCAAACAGCTCTGCCCCAAGGAAGTTAAAAGATTATTTTGCTCATCTTCCTATGTTTTGTATCACATGAATTATCCTCTACTGACAATGACAAAGCACAGTAACTCCTGCCAAAAATGCAGGTACAGGCTATGTTAGTTGATTGGTAGTTCCTTTAAACAATCTAAACAACAATCCCAGATTTAAGCGTAAGGTACCACACTCACCTAGACCGATGACATATTCAATTGCTTCCGAGTATTTGAGCACAGCTTCTCCAAACTGTCCACTCTTAAATAACTCGTTTCCTTCACTTTTTAGTTTTGCTGCAGTAGGAGGAAGTGAAGTAGAACTGCCACCACCAGCCGACTGAGACCCTGCTCCATGCGATCTGGAGATCTCAGGTTCAGGGCTTTCACTCTTTTGATCCCTGTGTAAATAGCCGTTAACTTCACCTTCGTGGTCAGACAAATGCTTGGGTGGTTTTTCCTCTGATGTGCCTTTTTTTAATCCGCTCTCAGTGGATTCCTTCTGCTTCTGTGTCTCTCTGTCTTCCGCCTTACTGCCACCTCCTTTGCTATGAAACTTTCTCTGCGCGTTCCCCATCGCAGCCTCCTCCGCACCCGCCTCTCCTGGCACTGGCACGCCAACTTCTGCAAGGAAGTTAATGAGCTGAGTTAGAGCTTGCATCATCAGAAGAAACTATCGTCCTGGCAAAAGAGGGGTGTACAGCTTCAGAACATGGTACCAAATCCTCGAGGCCTCCTAACGTTACAAAGATTTATTTGCCTCAGAAAATACATCCAAGAATACAGAAAAATTCCTACTTACAAGTGACTTGCAATTATTGCTGAGAACATATTACTATGAAATCTCGTTTCTCCTTGCTGAGCACATTGCAAACCCCTGTTCTGAGGTGTCCGGATGGTACAGAGTTCACCTTGAAATTAACCCTTTAAATACTGGCTCGTACAGTGGTGATACTCTGATTTTCCATGACCAAATCAAAATGCTTGCATGTTAAAATTAGAACACACAGCTAACAAACCAATAAAGTTGCACGCTTCAAAACCCTCCTCAAATATAACACTGAATAGTATGAATAAAAGCTAATAAATAATTCTCAAAAAGGTTTAATTTAAACATAATCCAAAAAGCCTTTTATAGACTTCTGATCATTCAACTTTCACTATTATTAATTAGTAATTTAATTAGGAAAAAATCATACAATAAGGGTAGTGGATATTAACATATATATATTCTTTATTCACCTGAATTCCTGACAGGTTACCATCACGGTGTTCAAATACAGATTTCTGCAGAGAGCCTGACTCTTGATACTGCCGGTCACACAAAGGCAGCTCTGTGGTTTGGCACTGTTAAGATGCCGGGTTTTCACCTTCCCTTTACTTGACTCGCTCATCTGTCCAACAGAATTTTTTCACACCTTCATACATTGGAGTGATACTCCAACTGACTCAAACCCAACTGCTGAAGTTGACGGAATATGGATGAACTAACTCTGGGTTGTTCCAAATTACAGAAATTATTTTTTTTAAAGCACAAAATGATACTGAAACCAAACTGAACAGGATGGGAAAGTCTAAGAGTTTTTAAAACAATAGATTCTCTAGTGCCTAATAGAAAAAAGCTCCAACTGCATCCTTTCTAGCTGTGGTCTCTGTTTTGAAATGCTGCGTTTAATAATGAGTTCATACTCCACAGTGGGAAAAATTATAGGATAAATCTACTCTACCCACACAGGCATTTTCATAAAACTTAAAATATTTCTATTTGAGACATCCATCCATCCATCCATCAAATTTGGCAGTTTAAAATATGCCAAAAAGGTTTAAAGTCTGTTTGGTAGGGAGGATAAGGATAAATGGCTAGCTGGGCAGATGAGTGAAGAAAGTAGTAGTATAATAATAATAATTTCCTTAGGATACATGCTAAAATACTTCTATTTTACATCCACCAAAACTGAGAATACTCTGTTTATCTTCTACTAAAAAAAAAAGAAAAAAAAATTAAATGTCACAGGCAAACAGGTGATAGGACAATTTTTTTAAAAAATTCTACAGTAAAACACTCCTGAAAAGCATCCCAACTGCTAGAGACAAAGAAAAAGCAAGAAAGGCAGATAATGAGTGATGCAAATGTGACTATCATTAATGGGAACATCATTTCCAGAATACAGGAGAAAATTTCCTGAAGATAAAGTGCATAGAACCAATCCTGGATTAAACAGAAAACATTTATAGCATTTGGAGTCCCTTTGAAAATAAGAATACTTATAATTAACTTGTTTAGCTGTCAGTTTAGGTTAACTGCCTAAATATTTCTGGACTGAGTAAACACCATGCACATAATTGTACAGATATATTTCTCAAATCTAATTCTCACTGTCTTTCAGTGTTTACAACATAAACAATATTCCTGTACTGGTCTCTACAGAGAAATTTATTAACGAAAGGAGTATTCTGGGCTTTACCCCCCCCAAAAATAAATTTTTTAAAAAATCTAGACATATTATAAATTCCAAAGAGAAGTTAAAGAAAGGTACTGAAAAGTATGGATAGGATTTTGACCAGAATGATAACAAAGTAGAGAACTGTAATTCATGTTAGTCGTGTTAGTACTAAAATAATTAACTTAAAATGGAAGGACTGTCGTAAAATAAAAGCCACCGAATACTCCAAAAGGAATATCTGAAGTATTTTTTTAATAATGGATTACATCATCTTTAATTTAAAATTAATTTAGAGCTATACAAAGTATTTATCCTCCAGAAGCATGGCATAAAAGTAGTGGTGGCAGAATGAAAAGCAATACAGTTAAGTTTAGTTAACACTGAATTCACTTATTATGAAGGCAGGAAACATTTTCAACTCTTTTATCTGCTCTGGACTAGCTACATATGAAGGCAACTGGAATGGTCCAAATCTCCACAAATTAGTTTTTAATAATTTTTTTTTTTTGCTTTTGTGACACACACAGTCAGCAAATATGTTTTATATTATGTGTTCTTGGTTTAGCTGATTGATTGAGATGGCACCTGGATTGTTCTGAGCCAGAACGTATAACAAATAGACTTCACACATAACTGAATTCTGACTGCTTAGAAGCAATTTTTGTTCACAAAGAATGAAAAAACATTTACTGGTCAACATTTATACTGACACTGTAATTGAGGGCTTTTCTTAACTTCAGGATATGCACTACAAATGCAATTCTAGAGTTAATTTTCAATGATGTTTCCTTTAACATGATCTAAATTGTCTTATCACTAGCTTGCAATAGAGCCTAAAAGCCAGAGTAGGTTGGGCCCCATTGTGCTAGATGGTATACAAATGAATTATGAGAGCTCCTTCTTCAGAGTTTACAACTCTAAACATCAAAAATAGCAAATGAACAAGCACAATGGAAAGAGAAATAAGGAATACAGAATAACTATTATATTGGATAACAAAGTGGCCAAATGTCCTTGTATAAGACCTCATTAATAAGGCTTCTAACCAGAAGAACAGACACAGTCAATTATTCAAGGCTACAATGGCAAAGAAACTTCTTATTACTGTAAAATTCTAGTCACAAAGATTACTACAAATTAAGATTTGGATAGGTGTGAATTCATATATGACATAAAAGGCCAAGTGAACGAGGAAACAGAGTAAGCATTAACCAACAAATAACATCTCCATTATCTCCAGGCCTCAGTTGTAGAGGAGAGCAGAAAGCAATACCAGGAATGCTGAAAATACAACAGCAAGCACAACTGATCACTTGAGTAGGAAAGAGCTCTAATTGTCTCCTACCCAATAAGCTTTGCTACTTAAGAAATCAGAAACTTCAAAATGCAAATCTTACTCGCTGTTCTCTGTGAAAAGCCATGAAACAATAAAACATATGTGGAAGAATTATCTGTAACATCAAATAAGTGTTCATTATTCCACATGGAATAATTCAAGAAAACATAAAAACGTAAAGACAGAATCCAGTTTTATTTTAAGATGTCAATTTTATAACACATGTTTAGAAAATCAACAAGAGAAATTCAAAGAGTGTCATTGATCCCTATGTGTTTTGGAAGGCTGTAAATCAGTCCTTATGACAACAGCTCCATGCTCCATTTATTGAAGGGCAGAAAGCCCATGACATCAGAGAAACAATGATACACGGTCAAGACCAGTTGAGAACACAGTACATAATTCATCAAGGATGCAGAGAGAGTTTTCGTACCTATTCAGGTCCTAACAACATTCCCAAAAAAGGATGCTCTAGTGAAAGAAAACAAAGTCACAAGACAGTGGACTGGTGTAAGGAGATGCTCTTCAGTCTAAGAATGGTTCCAAGTAATGGTACCGTCATGTTCAATGACAAAGACCTTAATTTGGTGCTCTCAAGTAGAAACCAGACTGGAAAAAAAAAATTACAAAGTCATTCTCTGGAGCCAACTGCTGTGGCATCAAGTAAATTTAATACCACATAGGAAGTGTAACTACAAGTCAGATGAAGGATATAACACAAAGGAAAAAGAGGTGCTCTGATGCTTCAATATCAAGTGTCAGTGTACCAAGCCAGCAGTCACAAGGTGCACAAAACAGGAGGACACATACAAAAATAAAAAAACCACATACCCTGAATTGGGAAAAAGGTCCCATCTAGAAGAATATTCTCTTCACTTCTAAAGTGTAATTAATAAATAAACCATGTGCAAAGAAAACACTCTCTAGGCAACATCTTTTCCCAAGCTCAACTCACAAAACATAGCTTTGTCTGTTAAGAGGTTTCTTACACGCACTCAAAGTACATACTTTAAAGAGAGCTCTGTTGTCATCTTTTAAAGACAAATATGTTGTCAACTTTAGCAATAACAGCTTGAGAAACAATAGTTCTAAAGCCAACTTAGAATTTATTTGTTTAAATGCACACTTTTTACGAATATTTACTAAATTTCAGAACTGTTTACCACAATATTTTTTAGAATTATTGTAACAGATCAAGTAAATACCACACAATTCAGCAAATTTTTATAAATTAAAAGGGGCTATTTAAAATATATTTATTTTATTTATCTTTAAACCATATTTATCACTTGAGATTATAACTTCTATGAATATGTTGAAATATCAGGCTCGTTGTTAAGCACATACATGATCTTTAGTTTTGACACTGCCTGAATACTGGTTTTTACAGTCTCTAGGACATAAGCAATTTTTCATTTCTGTTGTACAAAAAGGATTTTATTTACTCAAGTTGGACTTGATGATCCTTGTGGGTCCCTTCCAACTCACAACATTCTATGATTCTACTTTTGCTTTCAGATACGTAGAAGATGAAGAGACATTACACTCTGTATTTAGATTCTTTTGTTCAAAGCTGAGAAATGAACTCTTCAGAGCTAAAGAAAACAAAAAATATTTTGCTGGCTTTCTTCCAGTCTCTTTAAGTCTAGTAGGAATGCATGAAGCTTACCAACCAGAATGTGAAATAAATGTGACTACATGACTGGACTACACGGACTACTGGACTGACTGTGACTAGTGACTAGATGTATAGAAAAGACATACAAGATGCTGAGTCTACTTAGTGCTGTTAGGTTCACAGAATATATCAGATTTATTTGATAACTAAACTGACTTAGTATTTCTTTCCAGTTGTAATTTAAACCAGAGTCATCTATGAAGATGCTTGCCTCCTAAATCTCAAAAATACTTATGTCTATCAATGTGACACTGACGTCAGCTGACAATCTTCCCTATGTTTAAAAGTCAAACCTTTCATTAACAGAATGGGAGTCTTCCTATGGAGCTAGAAGGTACTTAGTCATCTGAATGCTCCCAATGGAAAGCAACCCTAAATTAACTAATATTTAAGGCTAGGGACACCATTCATCCTTTCTTCCAGGGTTTTGTTTTTTGCTGAGGAGACTTAACGGATACCTACTGATTTTGAAATATGTATTTTCCTTAAATTTGTGTGCAAATAATGCATTATGAAATCACATCTGTATGGTCTAATATTCACAATTAAGTTGGAAAACCCACAGACTGATTTCCTTTTAAGATAAAGAACTACATAGGCCACAGGAAACACAAAAGCCACAGCTGTCACGCCACATCACTTTAAAGAACGAAAAGAGAAAGGGTGGAAATCAATGCAGGGATGTTACTCTGTTGCAGGCTGTAGGCCAGACATGCAGCTAAATCTAAAAGCAACCTGCCAGTGCAAGCCTCAGTAGCCCTTGTTGCTCCACTTCCTCCTACAAGTCATGTATTCTGATTATGCCAGTAGTTTCATCTCGGCAGCCTTGCAGTTAGTCACACACTAATCCAGGAACGGGAGCTGCCCTTCAACTGCTTGTAAACTACATACAGTACAAGAAATACACGTTGTTTACCTCTAGTGTATACTTTTGGAGCACACAGATGATCTCTTACATTAAAAAAACAAAACAGATTGATAGTTTTCAAAACAAACAACATCAACAAAGAAACAAATTAAATGCCACCATTTTTACACCCTTTGATCCAATCAAGGGAGGAAAAATGCACAAGAGAAATGTGACAGTGGGAAGGCAGGAGCGCTGTGTGAGAGAAAAAGCTAAGGCACACAAAATGCTCTCTAACACCAGAAGAAATTCCTAACTGGGTCCACGTCAAAGGATAGGTATAAAATTACACAGGACATGGGGAAGTAGGTGATTTATAGCAACATTTTCCATCTCTGTTATACTTTCTAGATACAGTTCCAAAGATGTGTAATAAAAGTAGATTCTAGATTTCACATTCAGATCAACTTTAAGTAGTGAATGTAATTTTAGTCTTCAAATAGGCTAAATCTGCAAGCAAATATGGATTAATTGTGTGAATAAATATTGCAATATCAAAGGCAATGATTTTTTCCTCAGGTTAAAATTAAATAGGAAATGACATAACATTACTTTTATCTCCACCACTTCTTTCACGTTCTTCTATATTTTCCCCTCTTTCTTCATCACCTTTTGAATCCTCTATATCTTGAATAAGTATTCTTTTTCCTTTGCCTTGAGTCTCAGATACAGTCTTTAAACCTTTCAGTTTCTTTTCAATCTCTAGCAGATTTTTCTGCAATAGAGAAAAAACAGCAATAGCAGGAGTCTTTTTTTATAGGTATATAAATTGTAATTTATATACAGAAAATACATTCTGTTAAATAATCCACATAAGATCCTGAAGAACTATTGAGATAAATATTACCAATATAAAAACAGAGAAAATAAACGTGACTTTTCCAAGAGTCAGTATCAAACCCAAGAATAACACTCAAGTTCTGTCTCTTAGAAAGTCAGAAGGTACCACACAAATAAGTAAGCACTTTTCTTCAATGAACTGCTCAAGTAAAAAAAAAAAAAAAATTAAAAGGAAAAAAGATTGTACTACTGTGATATCTGGCATGGTCTACTCAGAAGAGACACATGGAAAACGGGTTCTTTCCAGAACCTCCAAAAAAGCCTAAAATCAGTTTATCAAAATTTATGCTGTGGAGAATTTGGTGTCTGATGGATGTCTGATGGAGGAGTGTAACTGATAGAACTAGAACCAGAAGAGACAATTTCTTAGCAGTATAGCAGAAGGACACTGTTGAATGATGAAAAGGTTTGCTCCTCCTGTAAGAACTGCAAATTAGATGATCAAACACCCTCTCATTCCATTAACATTTTTTGATTACTCAAAAAAACCCCCAACACACCAACCCTCCACTTTACACTTTCAGAGCAGAGTAAGACACCCAACATTATGCACTATTCTGAATTTAATTCAATGCTGTACAATGAAGTGCCATTTCTGTACTCACTTCCTCAAGAAAAAGATAAATAAAGGACAGGGACTAGATGATCTCCAGAGGTCCCTTCCAACCCCTGTCATTCTGTGAAAGCTTCAGGTGGACAAAGTACCCTGAAGAATTACAGTTCCTGACAAGCAATTTACCTTTATTTTAGTGACTCTGCACAGAAACATTCTCTCTGCATGTGTTCCATACATTTATATTTAGCTCAAGAGGGTTTTGAGGATCCTCCAAGCAAAGAGCAACTCAAAAATGCCCTGCCAAGGACTCTGTCACCTCTAGCCAAGGCATAATAGCTGGCACAGATAAGGACAAAGTACAAACATTGCTTCAGCTGCAGAAGCATTGCTCAGCAAAGCTACGAGTGTATTTGGATCTTTGGAAGAGTGTACTCAAAATGAGTAAGTATCTTATGTCTGGTATTGTAGGAAGTCTCAGCACAGCCTATTTGATAATCTTTTCACAAAGACTGTTGTGGAGTTTGTCAACAGACTCACATGCTATTTAGTGTTTCAGTATTGTAAGCAGAAAAAAACCCCCAAAGCTCTTTTAGAACTCAAATCTAAAGAGAGAGGTGTTTAAAAAGAAAAAAGGGAGGGAAAAAAGGAAAGCAGGCAGGTTGATTCCTAGATTGATGTGAAACTCGGAAACTATTATGGACAGGAATTTAGCTCCAAGAACATCCTAAAAGGGATGAATGCTGTATGTGGTGAATTTGACATAACAGGCTTGGACTGCTCTCACTGGTGCAAGCAATAGCAGTGATTAAATAACTCCATGGAAAGAAGTAGCAATCAGCAAGCTGCTAGCAGCTCAAAATGTGCCAACCATAAGAGCTGAACGGAATCCAGGTGATGAGGCAAGTGCTCAGCATCCAGAAGACACATGTAAAAAAAAAAAGGAGCGTAGGAGCACAATGGACTCCTAATTAACAGGAAAAGACCAGTTTAGCATCAGAACTGCCTAGTACTGAAGATACTCAAGATATGTAGAGTCCAAATGTAAAGACTGGGTTCTAACCCAGAAAAAACCCCTAAGAACACACCAATGAAATGACACTGACCAGTCCTCTCCTAAATAGCTGAAGTAATAGTAGTACAAGGACCACATCCTAACCTCAAGTTTCCAAAGAAAGCATCCAGCTTTCTTAGATCCAAAATTGGCTAAGAAGGATCCAGATTCATTCAGGTTTTTCATTCTAGCCTGGAGGTGAGAAATGAGGATTTATAACATCATGCTGAAGTGAGGACAGAACCCAGGTCCTCTCCTTTTGGATTAACTTTACCACTGCAACAATAAAAGCTTGGCATCTCTTTTGAATTTTTCTTGTGAATTATGTGTCAAACTTAAATACACCTATTCCAATTAATCTTTTTGAGAGAAATTTCCAAATAATTTTCATCAGCTAAGACACTAATAGCTCAGCAACAAACTTTTAGGCACCAAAATTATGTTAACAGAGGAGATTTGAGTGCCTACAGGTTCTCACAATTAAGTAGTGAACACAACATCTGGTCACATTCAAGTACCTAATTTCCATCACAGACACCTATGTGGTCTTGTAAAACTGATCACTGGCACAGTAGATTGAGTGTGTCCTCAGCGCTTATATTCAAATCAAACAATATAAACTGTACTCACTTTATACTGCAACTGCATACAACCTTTTTCTAGTCATATTCAACTCATTTATCTTTACCTTAGCTATAGCATTCTCTGGTTCAACACATAATACTTTGTTCAGATCCTCTATAGCTGTCTGGTAATTCTGCAGCTGACTGTGTACAGTGGCACGGCGCATCAGAGCTAGAAAGGAACACAGTGTATTATAAAGCTGATAAAAATACAGGGGTTTTTTGTAGATATATTAAGTATAAAACATTTTTTTAAATTCTGTATTTTCTTTGTAATAACTGTATTAGTAATAGCTGTTCTCTTGATCTTTTTTAACGATGCAATTTCACGTGACACCTTTTGAGATAGTGATCATGAATTGTGAACCATCTTTGTCCAATTTTTCCCCTCCTCCTATACAAATATAGTTAGCTACATTCAAGCCCTTGACTTCAGAAAGGATTAAATCAGCAACTTTCATTCTTTTCATATCACTTCCAAGGTAATTAATTCTTCAGTGCACGTATTATGGAAACAATGCTCTGCATGAATACAAGAGGGCTTATAGTCATAATATAAAAAACCAAAGAGTTAGCCCCATGATACTGCATAAGAATACTCATTACAGATCAACAGGATGGACTGCATAAAACTTCCCTGACCCCGAAAATACTGTTAAAATTACTTTGGGGAGCTACTCTGTTTCCTTCTTTATATCTGGACTTGATCTAAAGCTCAATTAAGTCAACTAACAACATGAATGGATGTACCATTTTATTTGCTAGAAGTAAAATAATATATTGAAGGGCAAGTTTCTGTTCTACTTTACCTTTTATGTTGCCAGGTTCCATATCTAGCACCTTCTCACAGTCCTGCAAAGCACCGTACCAGTCCTGAAGTTTGATTTCTGCTTGAGCTCTGTTATTATATGCAGCTGCGGTGGGTATTACTGATACACTCCTGAAAAGAAGAGACTATTGACCATGGTAGGTTCATAGTTAGAAAACCTGAATATAAAAGCACTTCATTATTGGAAGCTGAAAACAATATTATAACAATATTAATACTGATATTCTAACCAGTGGTTAGAAACTCCTTCCTGTGAGACCAGAGGCAACCATCCACCAACTAGATTTACCATCTTCAGAGGTCTGTTGCTTGCCGGGTTTTAGATCTGACATGAAGAGAAGATCCCATGGCTCATCTGTCCCTTAAGCTGTCCCTGGAAAACTACAGGCTGGTCAGTCTAACCTCAGTTCTCAGAAAGATTATGGAGCAAGTTTTCCTGAATTCCTCTCCAGGCACATGAAGGATAAGAAGGTGACTGGCAACAGCCAGCAGAGATTTACCAAAGGCAATCATGCCAAGACCAACCTGATAGCTTGCTTTGCTGAGTAGCTCAGTGAAGGAAGGAAGAACAGAGGATGTTGCTTACCCTAGTAGAGCACAGCCTTTGACTTGATCTCCCATAGTATTTTTACAGCCAAATAGGTAAAATATGGACTAGGTAAGCAGGCAATAAGGCAGACAGAAAACTGACTGAACTGCTGGGCTCAAAGAATTGAGTCATACAAAGTCCAACTGGTGACCAGTTACTCATGGCCTCCCTTTGGGATCAACAGCTTTTAACATCTTTATCAGGGGGGTATAAGACGGAACAGAAAGCACTCCCAGAAAGTCTGTCAGTGATACAAAGCTGGGGGGGAACAGTCAATTACAAACACACTGGACAGCAGAACTCCAGTCAAAGGGACCTTAACAGGCCAGAGGAATGGGCTGGCAGACTTAAAAAGGCAAGTTCAAAATCCTGCACCTGAAACAGAATAACTCCAGCAACAGTAGAGGCTGGGTGCCAAATAGCTAGAAAGCAGCTTTGGAGGAAAGGGCCGGAGGGCCCTGGTTGCAATTGACCAGGAGTTAACAGCGTGCTCTCAAGGCCAAGGAGGAGTACCACCTGCTGGGCCATATTAGTAAGAGTGTAGCCAGGAGGTGGACAGAAGTGATTCTTCCCCTCTCTTCAGCTCCTGTGAGACAACAGGTGGAGCACCTGTGTTCAGTCTCGGGCTCTTCTGTACACAAGAGGCACCAACGGACTGGAGTGAGTCCAGCGCGTCACCAGGGTAGTCAAGGGGCTGGAGTACATGCAATACTTCTGAGGAGAGTCTGAGATAACTAAACCTAGTTCAGCCAGAAGCAAAGGCTCAGGGGAGGTCTTTTCAGTCACTTAGTGGAAAGGAATGGAGAAGATAGAGCCACATCTTTCTCAGAAGTGCACATTAATAGGACAAATGGCAACAGACAAAAGTTGCAAAAAGGGAATTATTGATGACTTTTTAGGAAAAAAAAAAAATTACTGTAAGGGTAGGTAAACACTGCAACAGGCTGTCGAGAGAGGTTGTGAAATCTCCATCCTTGTAGGTATTCAAAACTTAATTGAACAAAACCCTGAGTAACCTAATTTAACTTGGCCCTGCTTTGACAGGCGGTTTGCAGAAAATATAATTCAGAGGTCGCTTCTAACCTGAATTATTCTGATTCTGCAGTATAAATAAAATGACTAAGTAGAGTGATTTCACTAGAGGCATGCAGAAAAATAGGCAAGATCCTTTTATTTTAAAATCACATCAGCATAACAGAATTATGTCAGAGCATGTCCTCTGCGGAAGTTGTGAATCTCTTTAGAAATGAGAGAGGGGTTTAAGGTTTTTTGTAAAACAGAAAGTACTCTCTATGTTTAGCTTGGAATAGCAGGCCTCATTACAGGACAAACAGAATGAATAACTGTATCTGGATTATTTTTATATAGAACCCTACTCTTTTTCCCTTTTTAGCCATATACAAATAACCCCTTCAGACTATTATCAATTCATTCCAAAATATGGTTTAGTTAAGTATTTATAAATGTAAGAAAATAGGAATTTTCAGATGGTATTAGAAAAGTGCCCAGTTAAAACAGTATAGCGTCAATATCATATATTTCAGAAGGTGTACAATGCCCCATGGGGGCTGAAAATGGCAAGACTCTCCATTAGGAAGGATTCTGCCCATCCTTATTAATTAATACCTTATTTATGCCCCAAAAGCAGAGATTTTTTACTTTTTTTTAATTACAGATACGTATTTTATTTATTGTATATGAAATACAGCTATGGTTGTTTTTTACATTAATGTTCATGTTAAGGCTGCAAGTCAGGAACAAAAAAAATACACATCAAATGCCTCAGTTTAAACAGCCTGTGCACTATGAATATCAATAATTTTGTGCACCTCTATACATCAACAATCTCCAGGTAAATATTCATAAGCTGTTGTACAAAACCCTGCCTCCTTCAGTGACAGTATGAGTGGTGCTTCCTAAACATAAATCTGTTCAATATTTATTTTATTGCTGTTGCACACAATTTATTCCGATTCATTATTTTCTACATACTTGTCTGCACTGACCACAGACACATTAATTTCCTCATAAACTTTTTCAAGCATATCCCACTATAATATCATAGCCCATGAATTATCTTAACACCTAATCTCACCCTACTGCCATATCACTACCCTCAGTTTACACTGAGAATTAATACACCAAGATTCCCGTATGTTCTCAATTTCTAAGTGACAACTTTGACACCTCTAGGACTTGTGTTTTTACTTGCGTTTTTTTAAAGTCCTTATCATTTCAAAGCACAGAGTTAAACACAAAATTTAGTTTCCTTTAACATTAGTTTAATTTGTGAGCATCAGCACTTTTGCAAGTCAGACCTCTAGTGTCTCAAGATGGGTTATCTGCAAATGAGAAACAAATGTTGGTCTCGTGAAAATCCTGGTTTGTATAAATGTTTGAACACTGTGAAAAGGGCAGAGAAAAATTCTAGTTCTCCCAAGGCACCATTCAAATACCTTAAATGAAACACTATCCTTCTCTTCCTATTGTGCTCAACTTCCATTCACCTTGCTTGAACTTCTTTACTTTTGAAACAGACACAACAGAGGTCCTGTAGCAACAATCTCGATTTATATAAATAAAGCCAAAGTCTGAATGTAGTCCACTGTGTATAAATAAGACAAGCAAACTGTAGGTCTCATTTTTTTAAATTCTATGTTTATATACCTTTTTTCTGGACTGCTACTAATTACAGTGTTATGATGAAGCTGCACACAATGATTTTTCTTCCTGCTAAGAGAAGGTTATTAAATTAATTTTACTTATTAACAACTGAGACAATCCTACTGATACTGTTCATCCTTTTATTTTTGTAAACTTGCCCTTGAATCAAAATGGTTTTGAAAAATCGGAAGAAGTTTGTGACACCTGCAGATTGCATCCCACCGCTATCCACTTCTCTTCCTGATAATAAAAATTAATACCAGGATGTAACATTGCTTTAAGTATTCTTCTGTCAAATCTTGTTGCCCTTTTGAAAATAACTGTCACTAGTTGCTTCAGTAAGAAGTTGCTTTAATTACATTGCTCTGAAAAGAATATTCACAAGTAAAAGTCATTAAAATAAAAGAACACAATAGTATTTACTCACCGAGTGTAATAAGTCACTGCTTCCACATAATCGCCAATGGCAAAGGCTTCATTGCCCTTTTCTTTTTCACGAGTAGCAATAAAAATCTTCTCTTTCTCTGTCATGCCTATAAAAAAATTATTTATACATAATAACAACTTGCACAGATGCAATCAAAACAGCTAAAATACTTTGAATGTCATAATCTGTGTATTATTTTTTTAAAAGAACATGGCTTACTAAAAGACCAATTTGTATTTTATTTTCTGTAATAAAAACCTAAATTCTTCTGATAGGCATACAATTCAGAATGCAAGATGAAAGCAGTTGGTGAACCTCTACCACTGGTTTATTAATAGCAGAAGTATGCTTTACTTCTTTACCTGGTGCTCTCAACCTAAATACAACATAAATATTTTAACTGATTATTAACAGTAAAACTAGATTTTTTTCAAATATGGCTTCAGGCTCAGTTGACTGCCTAACAACTTTTAGCATCTCTAGGGGCTGAAAAATAGATAAAGACATTTTTAACTCTATAATATGCTGCTTCAATTTGTGTTAACACTCTACAACACAGTATTACACTTAAAGAAAAATTATGTTTCTAAGACATTACCAGTTGTGTCTATTTTCTTTTTGATTATAGGTAGACTTGGCCTACTAAATAATCTTGCTTTTGAGTTATTTTCTTCATAGCCTTCATCAATTTTAGAACACTCCTTTTCCGCATCGAACCTTAAATTAATAAAAAATAACAAATTCAATAATGCTGCATAGCAAGACTCCTCTACTAATATAAAGGTATACTATATTTCCATTATAAACCACAGGAAAAGAGAGAGAAAGGCTGTGTTCAATTATCCATGATTAGTTAGGAAAAAGATGTTTAGTCTTATCTCCTTTCCTTGTGTTGGCTTTTTTTTGCTTTTTTGGTGTGCTTCCCCTGCTTATATGTTACCTCCTCTCTCCCTCCTCCCTTCTGATTAAACCCAAACAAACCAAATGAAGAAGATGCCTACCTCACCTCCTTGACAACCCCCCAGAAAAGGCAGGTAAAATGTAAGAAACAGTATAATCAGGCTCAATCCCAGCCCTATCAAACATCTCTATTAACCTTCACCAAAATACCTAAGAAACAGCTTCAAAGCAATTAATACTGTAAATTCCAAAATAGCCTCAGATACTTCCCAGGCTACTCTTAAGCAGTTTTTGAAAACAGTGTTTAGGAATTTATATAAAATAAATATTGGTGCCATAGTCCTATAAAAAAAATACAGTAATAACCAATTCTTACATTACCTAGAAACACTACACACTGCTTTTCTGTTTAGGACTTAATGAAAAATAACCTTTGCTTTCCACAATAATCTTGACAGTATGAATAATTTCTATCTGAAATAGAGACACAATTTTGAAAGTTTATCAAATTCAAAACCTTTTCAAGTAAGACTAATTGATCGTCATTTTGATTCTGATCTCTTGCTAGCTTATTTTTACCTTTTTATTATAAACTAACCAGGTTGCCCAAGGAAGTTGTAGATGCCCCCTCCCTGGAAGTGTTTAAGGCCAGGCTGGATGAGGCTTTGAGCAACGTGGTCTAGTGGAAGGTGTCCCTGCTGATGGCAGGGGGGTTGGAACTAGGTGATCCTTAAGGTCCCTTCCAATCCTAACCATTCAATGATTCTATGATAACCACATTTCAAGGTGTTTTAAAAATATGAAGTGAAACATTTCGTTCAGAAATTGCCTAAACAATTATTTGAAGGTTTTGAAATTAAACTTGGAATGTTTTGAAAACACAAGGTGCTTCAAACTGGAAAATTTCTTTCATTCTTCTGTTTCTGTTTCTAATCCAAAATAAACACATTATATGGGAAAATTCACAAACTGTAGTATTATCAGCATGCTAAAACACTTAAAGATTGAGTACATAAAACTGTAAACAAAATTCCCAAATGATTACTTTAAATGATACAGAGGAAAGAGGGATGGAAGAATAAATTGTTGCAGAAGTTATTTTGATAACCTATTTTGTTAGTCCTCATTTGAGCAGGAACGCTCCAATTTCTGAAACGGACATGCATGAAAATAACTGCTATACACAACTGTTTGTAAGAACAGCACCTTATGCAGACAGGGTTTTTGTAGGGGTAGAGTGAGACATTAGGACTTTCATTAACCAAACCCCACAGATTTAGCTCCCCATCTACTGCACAGGAATCTTGTGCCTCCTCGCTCTGATTCTACAGCATCCTGTTCCAGATTTCAGGAGCTAGAGAGAAGCCACTACCATGCAAAACATAGAAGTATGTGCATTTCCCCTTTCTATGCTGATTTAAATTAGCCAAACAATAACCCCTTCAGTAATTAAAACACCCTAAGAAATCAGAACAAAAAGCTTCCCATTTAAATCTGTCTTAAAGCAATTCATCGGAGTGACACGATTAAAATCTTTGGGGCAAATCCTCCCTGTGTTCAACAATTTGGAGGCATCAAACTGTCATAACTTGGGAAGGTAATATGCCACCACTACGTGATGTAGAGAGTGTTTTTGTATCAGGGCTCCATCCACTCTAGAAATAGTCAGTTACTGTCTAACCCTTTTATTACGTGTAACTGAATCTGAGGAACCTGATGCACCTGCCTCAATTTAGAATTGTTGCTTTAGATACACAGGAGATCAAATCTATAAACCCATGTTAAATAACCCTAGAAGTGCTTTCAAAAAGTTGATAAATTAAGCTAATTGTAATTCCTTGTTTTTACATACCTCCATAGATTTTATATCTTAAATGTTGAAAGGAAAAATGAAATCTGAAACAAAATCACTTTTTATTTCTATTTTCTGCTGACTTGCTGTATTTCACACAGCTTGTACAAAAGTACAGACTAACTTGTTAGCACCACAGTGCATTATTTTCATTTTAACAAAAAAATTATTATAAAAACTCTAAGTTTTTATAACACTCGCTGAAGTGTTATAATACTCTGAAATGGTGACCTTAATACTATGTTTCTGGAAAATACTTTATAAAACAACTGTGTTCCATTATTAAACAAGTAAGATTTAATAAAAACTTAAATACAAAGAATTTAACATACTTGTCCCATTCACTGTAATCCCGTGGTATGTTTTTCTTGTTTCTCTGTTTGTTTTGTAATTTTTTGTTCTGAAAGAGAAACAGACAGCCTGTAAGACATTTCTGAAGTGGAAATTCAGTCTTTTATTTGTTTTGTTTTGTTTCTGCAATACTTATTTCTAGTAACTAACACTATTAATGACTAATTTCAGCATAGGCTTGAAAATTTGTCTTGCTTTAAAGAAAATCTTCATGTATTTCACATATTGCTGTAATCTGAGGAGCTTGTCTCACACTTTCTCTCCGCTGCCCTGTTACATGTCACAGAGGCACGGAATAAAACTTTCAGGTGGGAGACTGCTCTTCCTAATTAGTACCTTGTGCTGCCACCTTCCAAACCATCCTTTCAACACAGCAAGGGAGAACTCAGTCTTGGGAAAACCCAGCCTTGTGATGAGGTGTTTGACACTGAGATTGAATCAGTAACCTTGTTTTAGGCTTGCCAGTCCCAAGAGAATGCAATGCATGGATTTGGATAGTCCCTGGAACTCTCACAACAAACTTGCAAATGTCTGACTTCAAAATAGTGTCTGGACTTCTTTTGACTATTTCACGCTCCACTCAAGCTCATTCTCAAGATGATTTATGCTCACTATAGCTTTTAGACAAGCTCCATCACTGAGGTTTGCCTTACCTAAAATTTATCCTTAGGACATTCCAGCAACAATTAGTCCCAATAACAGATTTGACTGACTTGTATCGCAACCCATCTCCTACACTAATGGAACCTATTTCCATAGCTGGCACCTTTGGCATCTCTTCTACCTGTGTAACGAGACTATATTTCTGATATGTCCCTCCCTGTTTGTTGACTTCAACAATACTTAATAGCAAGGTGTGGTTCCAAACAGGCATTCCACAGTGGAACAGCCAGTTCAAAATATTCCCAGTCCAAAATATTCTACTCTGTCCTGGCTGCTCAGCCCTTCTCCTACCTTGCAATCCATCATTCACTGAGTTAGACCAACGTAATTGTTTGTAGAGTTGCAGATTTACAATTATCTGAGTTCAAACAAACAATTTGATAGAGATGACAGTACAGTCCCTAAGTATCTGTACCAGTTCAACTGAGCATGGGAGAAACTGGACCAAAGAAACAAGCAGGAACATCTTAAACTAGCTCTACCAGTGGGGACACTGTAACACGGAAATGCTTCCGCAGTTGGATGTAAACATCTCAGTTTACATAATGCAAATGTGACCTTTCCTGTAAACACTTCTGACTATAGGTTACACAAACTTCTCTAAGAGTAATTCTGAAGTTATATATTAATGTTCTCAGTCTTCCAAGAAGCTAGACAAAATGCCAAATACATTTAGTGATCAGTGCGTGGTTGGAGGAGGTATCTCCTAAATACGGCTTGCTGAAACATGAGTTGTCATTATGAATGCATCGTGGTGTATATTACAAACTTACCAATTTAATAAATATAAAATCTTTTTTTTTTAAACAGAAGTCCTTAACTTAAAAAAGCACAAAAATAATGAAACTCTCAGAAGAAAACTCATAAGGTATTTACACTAATGCAACTTTAATTTAGGGAGAAAACTACAGCATGTCCTTTTAAGGAATAAGGCAGAAGTGTTGACTTAAAAATGCACAATTTTTAAAATTCTAGGTCTCAGATTCTTGGGACCATTGTAACCAAGTTGCAGCTCCAGCAGAGCCAGGAATTTCTCAATCAGTAATATTTCAGAGCATCTCATCCAAGAGGCTTTGATGAAAAATGTACATTTGCATGCTGTGGAACTAAAAAAAATAATTAAAAAAATCTCTGCCCTTATGATTTTTCTTGCCAGAACTCACAAAGGGTTTGAACCCCAGTGAACAATTTGAAGCCCAAAGACCAAAGCATGGACTGGCTTCAGTTTAGATGACACACAGTTTAGCCTTGCTTCTCCTCTGGACCCTGTGTGATGGCCTAAGACCCTACTATGCTGTGTCAGATAACCAGTATTTTTTTTTAGTTCAGAATATCCAAAATAATATGAAGACTATATAGATACCATCACAGTGCATTTCCATAACATAAAACTTGGAATGTGTGTTGCATGAGGAGGTATCTGAGGACAGAAATCTCTCTGGAATACCAACTCAGGGTATAAAATAAGGGGAACCAAAGGCTACACATACACCAGTGCAACCCAATATAAACGTGGCTATAAAGTGAAATGGTGCAGAGGGTCCAACATCCACATTGTATGTGTTTCAGGGTATTTATTTTGGACTAGCTTCTGTCTGGTGTCACGGAACAAATGCCTACTGGGAGCTGGAGAAAATCTCCTGGCATAATTTCATCCAAAAGGAACCTAGTTCATATGTTTAAATACTACTTTGAAATGTGAACCAAAGAACATAAAAGGGTGTTTAAGGAGATTTGCTCCATAAGTGAATTCTTGAGCAGAATTAAAACATTATTACAAGACACATGCTAGTACTAAGGAGGCATTTTTGTTTAAGCATTGGTCTCTTGCAAGGAAACTTGAAGGTTTTTTTTTTCTGGTTAACAAAATAAATCTAGTAAGAAAGGCTCAACAACTACAAGCTTGTACATAAAAAATTTCCCAATTTCAGGAAGACATATAATTAACATACATTAGAAAACTGGAGATACCTGATTAGCAGGAAGACAGCTGCTGGAACAACGAATAGGAGGCAAGTTATCTTCTCTTTCATGCAGTGTGTCTGTTCTCAGGAACTGTCGTTTCTTATCATCTTCATTCATTTCTGTCAGCCAGCTCTGAAAATAAACAAATAATATATCTGTGCCTTGAAGCAGTAGAGCAGATACATTTCGTAGTCTACAATGACAATTATCCTTATAATGCACTGCTCTTAATGGGGAAAAGCAATTAAGGCAAAAAGTGATCAGACTTTTCTGAATAAAAAACCAGCTAAAAAAAAAAAATCTGTAGAGTTAAAAGGCGCCTTAAAGATTCAGTGACACTAATTCAAGAAAATAATAAAAAAACCCCTCTTTAATCCTGTGATAAGGACTGATGTCCCTGTTTAATCAAGTAATTATATTCTACTTAGGCACAAAAAGAAGAAGATTGATATATCAAAGTAATTATATTAATGACTATTATAAATTAGAGTTATACTGTACCATCAGTTCACCATTAATTGTTTCCCATTCTTCAGCAGTGAAATCAGAAGCCGTGGCTGCAGGCTTGTCTTTTCTCAGAGCTTTGCTCCTTGGATCTAAATGCTCAATACGCTTTTCACAAAACAAGGTAAGTTCAGGATAACATCCCTCTTCACCAGACCTTTAAAATGCAAAGATATAACAGTTACAAAAAAGAACTAAATGGCACTGCATCCTCCATATTTCTCTACATGTGTATTAGTCACCACAGTGACTGCAGAGGACTATTTTCCTGTTACAACTGAATTCTACTATCACCTAATAACATTTTGATCAGAAAATTCCAGCGAGTTAACCTTCAAACACTTTCCAATGGACACACATACACAGTTCAAAGTTATCATCATAGTGCTCATAAATGCTTGTGTTACTTTCAGCAGAAGTTAAACAGGCATGGCATCTGAAATTACCACAAACAGGCACGGTGGCTTCATGACAGAACTAAAATCCAGAAGCAGCATTTGAGAAAAACCTGGCATTGAGTTACTCATACCTTTTGGATGGTTAAAACAGGACTTCGATTTCTAGCATTATCATTTAGACACTTTTAACATAGTTACTTTAACTTTGTATTTTAATTTTTAAATTAGAAAGTCACAAAGAGGCTCAAGACAAATAAAGTATTTAGGTACAGGTTCCTTCAAATTTTACAGAGCAGGAATATAATTAGTAAAGAAGTTAAGAAAATATAATGGTTACCTTAATACCCTCAGAATCTTTTCCAGGTGTTTAACATCTGTGCATTTTTCAATGAACTTGTAGTCCAGATGACCAATAGGTATTTGATATGTTTTAGTGGTTCCTTGGTCCAGCAAAAATGGTACTGACTCATCACCCATAGCTAAATATTAAAAGCAAAAAATGTAGTGATTCTGTAGGCACTTACAATATTTTGAAGCAATGCCAATGTAAGGAATAACCCTACTCATGCTCTAAAGTACTACTCTGTTATGCAAGCAGACCTATTGCTCCCAAAGAAAAACTTCAGATTTGAAGACCTGATCACACAAACTGATCTTGACAGACATTTACTGACAGATGTATGGTTATATAGGAGATACGTTTTGTAAAAAGAATATGTACAATTCTGCTTCTGCAAGGCAGAACAAGTCAGAAAGACTGCTTAAAGAAAAATTGCCAACTTCTGCCTATCACATTCTCTATTTTTCTTTAAACACGATATGGTATTACCTATTTTAAGCAAGTGTGATGGGGATGAAGGAGAAGATGGTGCAAAACCCTCTACTTTTTTCAGAGGGAAGATGTTAACCAACTCAGTGTATCTAACACAATAATAACCTTTGCCTTCTCTTTAGCCAAAATAAATTGAATCCTTCTCTGTAGCCAAATCTTTCCTCACTAACTGCATTTTCTGGGCCTCTGATTATATTACTGTACTAATCTGAATCCCCAGTAAGTCTGTAATTGATGAAGTCAGGTGTTCAAATTGGACACTTCCTGTCTCCCTGTACCTTTGATGGGCTTATCTGCATCTTTTCCTATTTTGATTCCAAGCTCTATGGAGCAGAAATTCTCCCCTTTCCCCCCCCATGTTATATAGTGCTTAAAGTTATTTTTAACAAGTACAATAAGGGCAGCTAGCTAGCATGTGATAACAACTAGGTATGGATATAAACCCAATAAAATAATTGTGTTCTAATGTCTAGCATAATTACACATATTCATTGGTAGTTGCACAAAAATGTTTACAATACAGTATCACTTAAATCATATAACTGGCCATAACTAAGTACTGCATAAAGACAGGGTTCTGCCCCAAGAATTTACAGTTTCGGTGCAGGAAAAGAAACAACACGCAGGGAGAGACAGTCAATACAGGAAATAATTAGACAGGAGTGAACACCAAGAGAGACGCCCATCACAGCGCTGCCACATTTTCTGCCGCGTCAGTGCTTCTGTGCACGGCAGCACCAGGGAGTTCCCCCGAGCAGCTCTCGGGCGACGCGGTAACCAGGAGACCTGGCTCGCCCGGCGGCTCAGCACC